AACAGAGTTCCCTGCCCATGACAGAGGTGTTGGAACTAGATGGTCTTTAAGGTCCTTTCCTACCCAAACTGTTCTAGCACTCATCAGTTGCTCTTCTGGAGCAATTCCAGTGAAATGCAGCAAATCCTGAATTCACCAATGCTTGTGCTCTGCAGGGTAATTCCATGGGAGGGACTGGGTGATAAGGGAAGCTGTCAGTCCAGTTGGTACCCACAAACACCACGGGAGGTACCAGATGTTGGGACATCATCACAGAACTGGCCTCACTGGGAGGACAAGGTTTCAACTGACTCAACTCTTAGTTTGTTGTGTCAGGTTCTTAAATACACATAGATACAAAACCTGACAGCTTTGAAGGTTCCCATTTTGCCAAGTTGATGTAATTTCATATATTCTCTCTTTTTTAAAATGAATGTTTACAGCATCTTTCTTTAAACAATAACAGTTGTTTATGATCAAAGCTACTATAATAAATCAGCATGTGTAGAAAGGAGAAAAATCTTTTTATTTGTATTGATCTTGTACATAGATCTGGTATTACTCAAAGTGTTTTCAATCTGTCAGAGGCTGCTCAGTGGAAAAGCACAGATCTTGAATACTGCTAAAATCCCTCTACAGTGTTGCAGCGTGCCTAAGCCCCATGGAATGCCACATTTTTAATTACATTTTTCCTGTGGCATTACAAAGAACACAGAAAAAGCAATGATCAGCTTGAGAAAGAAGCCAGCTTGGAAACTCTTCAGTGTTTGAAGGGGAAAATCTAAGAGAAATGTAGTTTAATGTTAGTGCCACGGTAGAAAGCAGTGGTAGTGTTGCTACAGGCTGCATGAATCACAACACCACAGAACAGCTCCTGTGAGCAACGTGGTAAAGATGCCAGCTAAGAGGATAAAGCAAACCTGTAACAAGCAGCTCATAAATTAGTTGTACACATCATCATCTTCCCAGAAACTTTTTCTGAGTGCACTACCAGAAATGGGGCCCACAAGATGAGTTTGCCATGGCAACAAAGTGCTGTAAAGATCAAGGTGACTTCAGCTGATACAGGGTCATACTGGAAAAACAAAAATGGTTTCAGGCCTAGTGATGCAAGAACATTATTATCAATTTTTCTTCAGGAGGATCTCACCCATCAAATATTTTGCTAGACGTCTTGTCTGCCTGTGAGCTGTAAAGCTGCTGAAAACCAGACTTTGCTCCTGAGAGGTATCTGGGAGCACTGCAACATTTCTCATTTGTTCCTGAGTCACCAGAGAACGCTGCCATGCACCTCTCAACCTCTGCTGCCACCAGGAGGTGAGACTCGCATGCTCTACAGTGACCACAAAAGTCAGGGATCACATCTCTTCTGAAGGAACTTCTCTTCTGCCAGAAACAGGGAGAGCAGGAGACCTCTGAGCTCTCTCTGCTCCTTGTCTTGGGTCATCTCTGGCTCTCTCATGGTCCTACTTGATCTCAGTGAGGAAAAATCCACAGGTGGAAAATAGGGGAGTCTGTTCTCACCTCAAGAACCTGTGTGTAGGCAGCACAAATCTTAATACACATATTCTAGTAATAATGAGAGAGAGAACAAGAGAGAGATTGCTAGGAAGGAAATAGACTTTAGTTTAATTTTCCAGTCATGTATTACACAACAAATCCCATTGATTTCCTTCAAGAAAAATGCTTGGTCAATGGCATGCCAATAAATACATTTTATCTTTTGTTCCTCCATTTATTTAATTTTTCATTGTATTCTTCCAACTTTGCAAACTCAACTGCATGAATTGTTGTGGATATTTTTTTTTCTTAAGTACAGTTCTGAAATTCCGGTTAAATTGACATTTCTAACATTTCCCTAACTGTGATGTCACAGTGTGCCTCCCTGTACTTGTTTCATTATCAGATTTAAAAGTCTGTTTCCAAAGTGATTTCGTGGTTCTTGGACTCAGAATTGGCAGCTGCTGCTGCCTGCTCAGTGCAGACACTGTCAGGTGCTGAATCACAGAATTCTTTGGGTTGGAAGGGGTCTTAAACATCACCAAGTTCCAACTCCCTGCCATAGGCAGAGATGCCACCAACTAGATCAGATTGCCCAGGAATGAGGGAGGCTCCTAACTTTCCTGTTCTCTCTGGAGCATTTGAATTCAAAGCTCTTTTAATTTAATATAGATACATTTTTGCTTTTTACACTTAGGACTTACTCGTGATTCCTTTTAACATCTATATTCAGCTGTGAGTAAAGTCACTTTCTGTCTGTGCCTGAAAATATTGCACAAATCTTTATTCAGAATTGTTAGAGATAATGGGTACACAGTGGGGCATTTCTAGAAGTGTTACCAGTGCAAATGGCCTCATCTGGGCAATGCAAAGTTTGACTGCAATTGCTGTTCCCAGGACTGCTTGGAACCTCAGCTGGAATAAGTGCCCAGTCACCACATCCCTAACAGGAGTCATCCACCCAAGCAGCCCCACTCAACAAAGCAGGGAGGGAAGGCTCTGTCCAAAGGGCTTGGAAGCATTTAGCCAGGAAAACTTTGGTGGCCTGGGATCAGAGCCACAACATCTGCATTCCCACTGATGTGCATCCCTCTTCCAGTGCCATGCAGAGGTGCAAGTCATGCAAAGTGGGGACCATGACTGCTATATTCTCTGGAAATAACTGTAAAACATCTTTTGGGAATCTGGGCTAGAAGTGACTAAACAGAGTGATAGCAAAAAAGAAAGGCTAGATCATCTTGCATAGGAATCAATATTTCCTCTAAAGTTAAAACAGTTTTGGCAAGGGTAAAATCGCTGGCAAAGCAGAGCTTTGAAAGGTTTTTGCACACCAAAAACCACATCTTGAAGTAAGAGACAATTTATACTATTTATTTTGACTTGTTACATTCCCTGGTTTTGTTTTTTTTTTTACTGTGATTTACACTTCCCAAGGAGAAGAAGTAACCATTTGACCATACCAGGGCACAAGCCTGTCTTGTACCAGGGATGTGGATACACTGTGGGTAACCAACCCTATCATGCTCTGGGAACCTCTCAGTGACAGCAAGGTGACATCAAGACCTGTTTTTTGCATGGAGAGATATGGCAATCACAAGCAGGAGGCCATGAATAGTCAGAGGATTTAGGTCTGGTTAGTCCCAACTTGAGGCAGAGAAGATGGACTAGGCCAGCCTGCAGGACTTGAGCTCTTAATTGCCCAGAAGTGGCCAGAAGGGAGCACACAGTTTGTCAGCAGTGGTGGGACCTGATGGCTCAGGCATTTGGGACTGCTGATTGCCTGGCCAGAAAGGAAGGCAGCTCTGGATGCACCCTGAAAAGCTGAAATGCCCCCATCTTTTGTAACTCTAACTTAAATTGGGGTTAAAAAGTTACTTTAATTAACCTCCAAGTAAATGCATTCATACAGCAGCCATGACTTCCAAACCCGTGACCTGAGGTGAACTTTGTGTTCTGTTAATAGCTCTGCAAACCACTGAGGAGACACTGGGTACCTCCTCCCGCTGTGGAAAGACAGCCTCAGGTCATTTGAGCTGGCCCAAGCTTAGGCTTGTGGCTCTCACACCCTTGATCCCTGCAAAGCTGGAAGTCAGGAGGGTGACTTTGCAAGAGAGGGTTATCCCATCACCCATCTCCTCACAGCCAGCCCGGAGGGGATGAGGTATCACCCTCAGTCACTGACATGCAACACAGGGACCATCAAGACCCACACCAGCTGGGCAAACAGTGCACAAAGCAGACAGTGCCTCATCCCAGTAAAATTAAAAACAATTAAACAGGGAATAATTTAAAAACCCTTTTTATTTAGACCAACACAAGAACTAGGTAGGATTTATGAGCTAAGTTTTTTGGTTGGAAAGCCAGTGTGTACTTTAAAGCATTGTCAGAGACCAAGAGGATACAGTCTGGAATACTGTGTTGTAATAATTTGTAAAACTGCATGAGACAGATTTCTTTTTAAACCAATTACTTCCCATCCATTCTTGGACAGATGAGCCCCCAGCTAAAATTCCTTTTCATTCCGATGCTTGTAACGATGAAGATGAAATGTGATTTTCCTTCTAACAAATGCTCCAAAAAGCAAAACCAGAAAAAGCATGTGTTTCTCTGTTATGGAAAGTAGGTCTCAGCATGCTGGAAATTCTGTGTTTTACTTACTTTCTACCACAAATGCCCCATTTTAAAAGAAATGAATAATGTAATCATTTTCTCTGATTTATGTTTTCTTTTCTGCCTCATTTGGCACTAATGCTGTGTTATTACAAGAACAACTGGTCTCTGCAAAAAGAATGATCTTTAGACTTCTTATCCAAAACCTGTGAAGTCATTGGGAGAGACTGCAGAGAAAGGCAGAGAGGCCGTGGACATGAGCAGCAGTTGAACACTTTCCCACTGACCAGGCAGATTTCCTTCTTGTCTCCCGATGACACAGAGCTGCACCTTCCCAAACAAAGCTCTCCTCCAGGCAGGGTGTCAAGAACGTGACTGGCAGTTTTCAGAAATGATAACGAAACGTGGGTCAAACAGGGCTCAGCAGAGTCCCACGAGCACAGTCGGAGCCTGGGGACGTCTTCACTGCCGAGCATCCCTGGGACTCGACACGGCCGCCTGCACGCTCATCAGCACCAGTGCTAACGAGTGCCACAGCTCCCGAGCCCCCGAGGCTTCAGACGTGTGCTGGCAAGCCGAACAGCAACGAGCAGCATCTTAACAATGAACTTGGAGAAGAATCTGCAGGGAATTAGTGTCGGGCATGTGTAAAGAGGGTTACTTTTCCCATCTCCAACACCTATAATTACATCTCAAAGGTGCTAATAAAATCCAGTGGTTACGGTGGGTTTTTTTTTTTTTTTTCCTCTGTGTGTCAAAGTTAAGCATGCTGCCGTGACGCCTAGGAAAAATCAACTTTCTTACACTTCAAATGGCCACGCAAGCAGCAGAAGCGATGACGGTGCTCCCCGCTGGGTCAGAAGGGCTGAGGTGCGCTCCTGGCTCCCGGGGGCTGCCCCGCCGCTGCCGCCTCAGAGGTGCGGGGCGTAGAAGGGGCCGAGGTACGCGGGGCCCAGGAAGGGTGCGAAGGGGCCGGCGCCCAGCGGGAAGGGGGCGGCCGGCGGCACCAGCACGTTGGCGGCGGCGTAGGAAGGGAAAGTCTGGAAGGGCAGAGCGGCGGGGCCCGGCGGGCTGGGGCTGCCGCCGCTCGCCGCCGCCGCGGGGGATGCTGCGGGGGTCGCCCCGTCGGCGCCCGGGTGCTGCTTCTTCCACTTGGTGCGGCGGTTCTGGAACCAGATCTTCACCTGCGTCTCGGTGAGGCTGAGGGACAGCGCCAGGCTGAGGCGCTCGCAGACCGACAGGTACCGCGTGGCTCGGAACTTGTTCTCCAGGGCCACCAGCTGCTCGTAGGTGAAGGCGGTGCGCGCCCGCCGCGGCTTCCCGCAGCCCGGCTCTGCCCGCCGTCGCCGGGCGCTCCGCGGCGAGCCCGGCTCCTCCGGCCCGGGCGGGCTCGCGGTCCCGGTCCCGTCCCCGCTCGGATCCTCCTCGTCGCGCTCCTGCCCCGCGTCCTCGGCGCCGCTCTCCGCCGGGGCGTGCGCATCTAGGTGAGATGGCGGGGATCGTCAGGGGATAGCGCACCCTCCTCCCGTTCCCCCTCGGAACCCCGCGCTTCTGCTCCCACATCCCTCCCTCCCCCCAACATAAGGGCAATCACTAAAAATAAAATAAAGGGGAGAAAAATTCCGCCCGTCGTGCGAGGACCCCCCCCTCGCGTCCCCCGTTGTGCCACCGCATCCGCGGTGGGGAGGGGGGAGCCGTCGATATGGATTTCTTACCAATTAAAAAAGAAGTTATTAAAGTCCTCTTCTAAAGCGAAATAAATCCCCTCCCCCCTCCCACCCTCCCCATCCCTGCGCTAATGGAGTTTCAGATTTGCGAGGGCCAGATCGATAGATGTCATCTATTAAAGGTAAGTTTTAATCGAACAATATTAGGATCAGGCCGGGGGAAGGAGGTTTGAAGTGGGCACCTGCAAGCTGCGGGGAGGAGATAGGCGGGAGTCGGTAATAGGATATCGATCACCGGGAGCTAAGGCATCCTCCGGTGGGGACGGGCTGAGCAATTACCCAGCAGGCCGTCCCGGAGGCCGGGGCATCCGACCGCTGCCGCCCCGGGGAAAGGAGCGCCCGGGGGCTGGGGGAAAGAAACCCGTGCGGTGCCTCGGTAAGAGCCGCGGCCCGTCCGGAGCCGGGGTTCGGCGGCGGCGCGCCCTGATGTGCGCCCTCCTGCTCCGGCGGCAGAGGATGCTCCGGACGCCGGGAGCCGGGCAGGGCACGCCGATATCGAGAACTTTTCCCTTTGCATCATCAAGACTTCAAATCCAGTTCCAGCCCCCCTTCCCTCGCTCCTGCGGGACCCCGCGCGGGGAGCGCGTCCCGGCGGGCGCGGGGCCGAGGGTCCCCGTGTGCCGGAGCCTCCACCTGCGCGCCCCGCCAGCGCCGGCCGGAGAAACGCGAGCGCGTTCCTACCATGTGCCTCTAGTTTATTCCTCCCGCTGCCGGGAGCAGCAGCGTCCTTTCCTACTTCAACTCTTCCCAAACTTTTCTCCCGCTCGCCCGAGCGGGGGGCGCTGCCCCAGCTCCCCGAGGCCGGTTCGCGTCTTCTGCTGAATTTCTGGGGATCCAGGATGTCTAAGATGGAGAAGGAGATTTTATGATGGATGGGGGCCGCCTTGGCCCCGCGGTCCGGGCATTCCGGCATCCCACCCCACCCTCCGCGCTTCCCGGAGACCTGCTGGCTCCCAGCGCGGAGCCGCGGAGCGCAGCGCCGGGCGCGGAGCCGGGCCGCTCCGGAGCCGCACGCTGGGCGCTGGCGGCGCGGAGTGAGCGGCGGGGAGGAGGGTCGGCCGGGGAGGCGGAGGGGCCGGCGGCGGGGTGGGGGCAGAGGAGGGGGCAGCGCAGCCATTGGCACGCCGCCCCCGCGCCCCCTCCCCGCCGCGCTGGCTCCGCGGGGGCGCAGCGGGCGCCTCCCTCCATCCCAACCTCTCGGCGACGGCGCTTTCCCGTTACCTACACCGGGTTGGGCGGGGGGATGTGCAGAGAGGACGGCCAGGAGCCCCTGGCACCGGAGCCGGGACCTCCGCCGGAGCAGGGATGCGGCTGCGCCCGGCAGCCCGACGGCAGCTGTGTCCCCTGGTCCTGGAGAGCCACCGGCTGCACCTGTCCCCTCGCCCTCCGCTGAGCCACCTGCAGCTCTCCCGGTCAGTGCGGGTCCAGCGGGGTGAGCCTCGTGTTCAGGGGGACCCAGAGAGGAGGGATGGCTCCTGCATCTGTCTCCTGCACTGGGCAGGATCCAAGCTCCAAGTGCTCCCTGTGCCAGCAGCCACTGTTAGAGATGTGAAGCTACTGCCTGGTCCTCAGGGAGAAAGGATCAGTTTTTTGTTTGGGAGCAGCTTTGGATCAGTTTAGTTCAGACTCTGGGCCACTCCTGCAACTCTCCTGTGGTGTTCACACTGTTCCCAGTTAGTAGGCAGGGGAAACTGAGGCCCGCCTGTGCTGGAGGAGCTCCTACCCACCGAGCCACCCCCTAACCAACCCTCCTTGTCTTGGGAAAAACTTTGTTGCCGGTTCACACTATAACTGGAACAGGGTAGGTGACAGTAGGCCAAGCCTCCTCACTCTGCACCAACCCTGTGACCACTTCTAGCCAGACCTGTTTATTGAAAACCGCTTTACAGTGTATTTCTGCACACCTGTATCTGTTTGGGGGGATGCTTTTCCTCTCCTTGGCATTTCAGTGTTTGGGTGCCACAAATCATCAGATAGATTGGGGGAAGGCACCCTTCAGCAAGGGAAGGCAGCCCTCAGTAGGAATCTGCTGCTCCACCTGTTTTATTCCAATGGAGAGATGCAGAGCACAGCCCTCCTCCTCCTCTTCATCGCTGTCTCAGCCTCAGCAGAATTGGGCTCACAAATAATTCTTGGTATAGGCCTTAAGTTAAGAGGAAAGCAAGAAGAAGAGATGATGATGTGCAAAGGCGATGTGATTAAAAGCAACTGTTACTGTTAATTATCTAAAAGCCCATTTGGCACCAGCCTCTGGGGTAGAATACCACAGGAATGTAGAAAAGAAGAGAGCTCAGACCTGAGGAGTTCACACCCACAAGCTACAGGTGGCTAAAGATTGGTTTTGGGGATGTGAGAGGTGGTGAACCAGGAAAAAAAATCTGGTATAGTTGAGACTACAAATACTTCTGTTTGAGCTGTTGGGTCTGCAGGAGCTGAGAATGTAAATTGCAGCATTGAAATTAATCTGTGAGCTACAAGACGTTTTCAAATATCATCAGTTTCACCTGTATATACACAACAGCCTACAAACACACATGCATGTGGAAGGGCACATACTCATGGATTAGTTCCAGCACTCTAAAGTTGGTCCGTTTCCCAGCTCAGGCATTAAAATTCAGCCCAAGTGCTGTCTTTAAATTGCTTTGATGCTAGGTGGGTTTCAACCCTGACCTGTCCTGACGGCAAGTGATGGCTGTAACAAGCTGTGGATCAATATTCATAGCGGGTGTCCTGGACTGATAACACTATCCAAGACAATGTTCACTATCACTGCAGACAGCTGAGATATTGTGCCATTAGTAATGTTGTTTTAAATAACCTGATCCATTTCTGAGTCTATTTAATGAATTTCGCAGTTTAGATATTATCTTTAGGGAGAAGCCAGAGGCTATTCCAGAAGCCGTGATGCAAATCAATGCTGCCAAGGCTCCTCTGCTTTCCTTAAAACAAAATGGACTATAATTCCACCACAGCTCCTTATACATTCTGGGAGTCATGCCATGCTATTGATGGCATTAGCGACGAGAAGATATTTGGGAGAAAACAATACTATCCGTAAAGCTGGAACACAGCTGATAACATCTTATCTGCTATTGTAAAATTCTTTACACGAGACTCAGTGGGGTTTTTTTCCTTGGTTGTCATATGAACCACAGAATGGGCTCATGTAATGCTCCTTTCAATGGGGTTGAAGGGGGCGTTAAAAATCATCTAATTTCACTCCACTGCCATGGGTGGTGATGCCACCCGCTAGGACAGGTAGCTCCCCATCCAGCCTGGCCTTGACCGCTTGCAGAGCTGGTCCAGCGGCAGTTTCAGCGCGCTCCGCCCGGCTCCGGCGGCGCGGCGGGGCGGGCTCGGGGCGGAGCGGAGCCGGGACTGCATTTCCCGGCAGCTCCGAGCGGCACGGCCATGGCGGAGCGGGGCCGGGGCTGGGCGCGGGCCGTGCGGGGGCTGCTGCTCGATGTCAGCGGGGTCCTCTACGACAGCGGCGCCGACGGCGGCGTCCCCATCGCGGGCTCGGCCGAGGCCGTGCGCAGGTGGGTGGGGGGCGGCCGGGGACACCCGAGGAGAGCGGGGTGCCGGGGCTGCACCGCGGTCCCCGCCCGGGCGGTGCGAGTCGGGCCCCGCTGCGCTGTGTGAGTCCCGCACGGGAATCCGGAGGTTTCTGGGGGCGGCTCGGTGGTTTCGGGGGTTATTTTAGGGAAGGGAGCCCGCAGGGCTGATGGGGAGGAGAGCCTGGAGCGGTGCGGCGGGGACGCCCCGCGTGGTTCTGTGTGTGCTGGTGTCACTGCGCGTGTGGCAGGAGCTGGCAGCGGGTAGGGGATCTGGCACTGTCCCCTGGTAATCGTTTTTCAGATATTACCCACACTGGTGTCTGTAAATTGATTAACTCTGCTGTCAAATTAGCTGGAATTTGCAACTCTGCAACAGAGAATTTCTGTGCTGGGGTTAATGATTGCCCAGCTTGGAAGTGACTCAAAAGCAAAGTGTGGTCCTGGTGAGTTACTCCGAGTGCCCACAGGTAGGGAATCCCTTCGCCTTTAGCTGGGTGACGCTGCCCAGGTAACACGAGCTAAGTAACTTAAGTAACTTTAATTAATTGGGTTGACTTGCTAGTGTGCCCATATTGGCCCTGCTTGACCAGGGGAGCAGGATGGGGCCAGGGGAGAGCAGTGGCCCCAGGCACAGCTTTGTTTAAAGACAGGTATTGATTGTGTGGTTGTGAATTTCTGGAAGAGCCTTTTGGCTCTCTGTGATGTTTCATCACCCACTGTGGAAAATCCAGATCTGTTTCACCTGGCAAGTGCTGGATGGGGCTTGGAGCAACCTGGCATAGTGGAATGTGTCCTTGTCCGTTTCAGGAGATTGGAACTTCAGTGCTCCTTCCAGCACAAACCGTTCTGTGCTGCTGTATGTACCCCACTTGCAATGTTTTAAATGTCTAAATTCTGAACCCCCGTGAAACACTGACAGCTCTGTTTGGTGAGCACCTCTGCAGCTTCTGCCCTCTGGGGCCACTCAGCACAGACACAATTGGGACGAGTGCATTATTGAGCAGGAAAACATGCAGGAAGAAATACTGAATTCAATATAATTAATCATATGAGGTTAGTTAAATATTTGCCTAAATGTTGGTGGAACCACCATGGAAAGGCAGAACTGGAGAAGCTCCAAATGAAGTGATAATAACAGAACTGTTTGCTGCTTTCTTCCCCCCACCCCCCCAATATTATGTCTTTGTTCATATTTCCTGAAATACGTGTAGGATGCACAGAAGATGTTATCAGATGGCTCAGAGTTCCCAGTGCTGTCAGAGAGGAATATTTGAAGTAATTTTAAGCCTTATTGAGGTTCATGGCCAGTTTCTGGTGCTGACGTGGCCAGGAGAAGCTGCAGATACCAGGACAGCCAAGGAGACAGCAGCATTCCCAGGAAATTCAGTGGAACAAGGCAGAGGGAGAAGTTGCTTCTATTGAAATCCTGTGGCCTGTGGTTCTTTCAGGGGATTGTGCATGTGCAGAGCACAGCCTGGGACAGTCCAAATCACAGCCAAGGCCTCCAGCCACAGCCAAACCAAGCATAAATAACAACAACTGCATAAATACTGTCAGAGATCAAATCTTTCCTTTAGAAACCAGGACATGTTCAGTAATACCTGTGTTGTGGTTCACCAGATGCTTTTGACGTTGGTTTTTTGCTCCTGAATTGTAAACTTCATCTTTTGTTGGGTTGCAGGCTGTTATTTAATAACCTTTGTCACTGCATTTGATGAAACCTCCTGCATGGAGGCAGCTTAAACTGCAGTCTAACTTACAGTAATGTCAGAAATATGCTGATGAAACAACAGTAAAACTCTGGCCTTGGGCTAAATGTAGGAAATTGTTCTCTGGAAATCCTGGGAATGTCTAAGCCCTTTTTGCCTGTTAGTCACAGGAAGCCCTCAGCAGCTAATCTGACCTGTCTGCCTGCCTGGAAAGGCTGCAGGAGTCTCTGAGGAGGGTTTGGAGATGCAATCCAGGGAAAGGCTCTGGAATGCTGTGCAGGGAAAGCTGATCTCATTTGGGCAGGATTTGGTGAGCAGTGCAAAAGCAGTGTTCATAGCTGTGGGAACTGGGAACAGCAGAATGGGAAAGTGCCAGAAAGGGTAAAAAAACCCCACCAAACCACTTTGTTGGAAGGGTAAAAAAACCCCACCAAACCAAAAAAACCCCACCAAACCACTTTGTTCAGGTCATTCAATGTAAGTGGTGAAGAATAATCATTTTCCTTGGGTAAAGTCAAGTAGCCTTATTTATCTGCCTATTAGGTTAGTAATTGTTCTGGCTCACACCATTTAAACTCTTTATTGACTCATTATCCTATTGCCAGTTGCTCATTAATATTTGTGTCTGTGTCACAGTACAGCTGGGTGGTTTCAAGCAGATGGATCAAAGCTAAAAGGAGCTCTTTTTAATTAATTCCTTTTTTTAATCAATTAAAAAGCCATAATTGCAGATAGTGAGGAACCTTATAACTAATTCAAATTGCTGTGGTCCTCTGCTAAAGCAGCTGTCTAACATCTTTTACTGTGTATATATGTCCAACAGCAACCTTAAATCCCATTTTGATAACTGAGAGTACAGATAAGGACTCTTACAGCAGAACAGCTGACCTGTTCTTTTCAGACTGTCTTGCTACATCACCTCCCCATTACAGCAATTAACTTAGTGTAACAACATACAGTACATTCCAATAAAAATGATAAGTAAACATACTAATTTGTCATTGGTTTCATGTGACTGAAGCTGTCCTGACCTCCTAAAACTATATTTGCAGCATTATTTCTCTTGTTTTCAGCTGAATTCTGCTGTGCAGTTATTTGAGTTAGTGTTTGAGAGAGCAGCAGCCTAATTTCTGCCAGCAGAATTTGGCCTGGTTTGTATTTGTGGTGCCTGCTTCCCTCTTGTTTGTTTGTTTGTAACCAACAGTACAGTCAGATGGAGCAGAAACATGGCCAGAGAAGCTGATGGACACTGGAACACCCTGAGCAAGGTGACATTCAGTGCTGTAGAGACCCTCCTGAGGAAGGCATCAATAATTGGTACAACCTGTGGTGAAACACCGAGTGTAACAGCTTGGAATGCTTTGTTTATTGCTGATGTACTTGCAGCCTGATAAATCTCACCTGTGAAACACTGAAGGGTTCAGTGTGCCCTGAGAGGAGGTTGGTGGGTTGGAGGCTGAGGTGGTGAGCTGCAGGAGTATTTGTTGAGCAGAGCTTGTGGCCTGTGCTCAAGGGATAAGGTGAATCTGGATCCTTGCTACTCATCCAGACTCAGCCAGGCACCCATGTGCCAAAGGGTACTGGCACCCCTGGAGCCAGGAATGTCTCTAAATTCTCCAGGGACTGTTGTTGTTATCTTTAGGTGGGGATATTACAGCAGTGGATGGCTAAAAAAGCCAAAAGTGGCTCAATAAGATAATTTATCCCTTTAAAACTTTTAAGACATAATATTTCTTGATTGTTTAACTTACTGTGGCGTATCTTTGTTTTTGTTTTGAGAAAGTTACATAAACCTCACCCACCTCCTCCCAGCGTGTGCAGTTCCCTGGCAGATGCTTTGGAGCAGATCAGAAAGCCCATGGATGAGATCAGAAGGGCCATCGGTGACTTAAAGGCTTCTCCTGGAGCCAGCCCTAACAGAGCCTCAGTGCCGTGCTGTTATTGTCTTAATCGATTTACACAGCATTGACACGAGGTGAGCTAGCTGCTTTTTATCTTGCAAATAGCCAGGAGCTGGTCCCTTACAAGACAGAAGGTGGTTAAACACCCATAAAAGATGCTCAGCCTGTGCTCTGGCATTTGCATTTACAGCTTCGTGCTGATAGTGTGTCCATTAGCATATCCATATGAAAAGCACACAGTAGTTGGAGGTTTACAACATCCTGTTGTTGGGCTGGGATAGTGCATCTGTTAGCACAGCTTTCTGCAGAGCCCTTGAAAAGGGCAGCGGAAATCTGGGGAGCAGGGAGGCTGGGGAGCAGCTGGACACTCCTGTTAAAATAAAATACCTGGAGAGTCTCACAAGGAGAGGATTGTGAGGAGAACAAGCGGAACTGGGACTGTAAAACAATTCAGGGTGTGGGGGTTCAGAGGAATTGGGAGCTCACAAAGCCTTTTGGAAGTGTGTGTGCCACGAGGAGTAGGAAATCTTTGTTGTCACACAGATAACGTGGCTTAGCACAGGCTGGGCAGATGTTCAGAGTTCCAAGGCTTGCTGTGCCTTCGGGACATTTGATAGAAAAGGAGTTGTTCCTCCTAGAAAGAGCCCTTCAAATAAAGTATACAGACCCTTGTGTAAATATCAGTTAATTTGTTTTTGTACTTGACTCTCTTTGCACTTTCTGCCCAAAGAGACCCAGTGACCGAGGTGTCACTGCCTCCTGAAGCAGCAGACACACAAAAAATGAAGCATTCTGTATTGTCATGTGGCTGTTCCCTGGCAGAGCCAGAAGGGGACCCAGGAATTGACTCTCAGCTGCACTCCAGTCTGTAACATTAGCTGTGGTCTCAGTTTTCTGAGAGCAGTGAGTGTTCCTAACCCATATTTGCTTTCCTAATCGGCAGTGCCCCTTATTTCTTTATAAAGATTTGTGTCCCTGAAGCTGTGGATGCTCACCTGCTTTCTGCACAAATTGCATGAGTAGGTGCTTGTATTTTTGGAGTTCACACATCCTTAACACTCAGGGTCTCAGAAACAGGATTCCTTCTTTATGAACAGGTGCTCTTTGTGTACAAAGTGAGGATTCAACCCTGTCAAAGATAACTTGTTTTTGAATGAGTTTTTAATGGAGTAATTAGCAGCTTCATAGAATAATAGAATAGTTTGGGTTGGAGGCATCCTTAAACATCATGTACCCCCCTTTTTGCACAGAATAAAAGCTATTGGAGTATCACTCACTATGTTGTCCCTAAAAATATTTTACTTAATGCAAATAAATATATCCCAGACCTGCTCATGCTAACTGAATCCTCAAAAATCTGATTTTTCTTTCT